GTGTCTTTGGTGTTCTTCGTTCTTCTTTGCTCCAGGTGGGTTGGGACCAACTGATGCATCTTAGATGGCTGCTTGCTAAGGAAGCTTGCATTGTTGAGAAGAGAGAAAGTGATCTTAGAGTGAAGGTGACAGAGTTGGGGGTGTGCCAAGTGAGGGAGTTTGAAACAGTTGTAGTGGGGAGTGCGGCAGGTCATCAGTAAGAGATGACCAAAAGTATGGTGGCCAGGCTGTGAGGGCCAAGTCCAGGGCAGGACAGCTGCCCTTACACACGTGCCTGCCTGCACGTGCACACTCACACACAGATCCTGATGCCAGTGTTGTGCCACGGACACCTGGTGTCTCTAGAGAGTTCTAGAGAGGTTATAAGACATCTGAATGTGTCTTATGCAACTTGTTTATCAAAAGAAATGGTGACCTCAGCCAGCCAAGAGCCCTTGTTACTTGTTTTTTGCTTTAAAAGCTTTGCATTGAAGCATTCACAGTGTATGAAGCTGTCTAGCACAGGTATGGTTATTTTATTCCGACTTAACAATTTTCTCTGATTAAAGAAACTGGAAGGAAGCAGTTACAGTGCAGACATTTCAAAGTTATTTGCCCGATCTTCCTTATCTGTTCACATGAAGTGAAATGGTATCAGGTGATGTACGTGTGCAGTGTAACTAGAGTTCTGTGTTCAAAACTGCTTGTTATGTAAAAGGAATATAAAAGTAAAAACCAGTTCAACTTAACAGGGAAAAATAAGAATTCTGTGCTCTTCAAAAGCATTACTTTATACAAAATATTGTCTTCAATTAAAAATATCCTTTACATGGCTGCTTTGTTTGTGAGTGATACTAAGAATGAAAGAGATGAGAAAGATCTCTTCAGGACATTTGTTCTTCGTAGACTTTTCTTTTTGTAAAAGACATGGTAAATAAAGTTCTGTGGGTCTTTTTTGAGAGGCCAGGAGTGGTCATCTGCTGTTCTGTCTTTGAATATAAAGCAGTACCAAGATGAGGCCACAGAGCAGGGCTCTTTGTGGATTGTATAGTCATGACCTTGTTAGTATAATGTGCCATCAAAAGCCTTATCCAAAAAAGGCTGAGATGTTTTTGTATGGAAAAGAAACCATTTAAAACAGTGGATTATCATCTAAAGTGACTTGTTTATGCCAAGAACTGTTCAGTTTCTTTCTCTGTACACGTACATATGTTTTGAATTAACTCTGTCTGTAAACATTTTTTGTTATAGAATGTGTGTTCCCTTTGAAATTGAAAAAAAAAACTCATTAAATGGTTTTATACACACACACGCACACACACTTTAATGAAAACAAAGTCCTGAGTGACCTAACACCTTTTGACTAACTGGCAAGATTTGATTCAGGTGAACACGCTGTTCTGTTTTAGAGAGTAAATGGCTCTGGGTTATAATGACTTATCTTTCTCATGAAACTGGGTAGGGGGAGGGGCTGGGTAGTAAACAATACTCATTTGTAAATGGAGTCTTGGAGTGAAATGTAAATCTGAATTGTTTATGCTGGTCTGAGGGTAAAGCAGTTACTCTTACCCAGAAATGGAGCATGTACATTGCTGTGAGATTCATTCGTTCATCGGGTGTTTATTGAGCCTTTGTTCCATGTCTGCCATATGCTGGGCTGTGGGGGTGTGAAGATAAATCAGCATGGTCCCTGCCCTTGAGAATCCATTAGCCTATGGGGAGAGGAGTGGATCAAGAGACACCGTGAGACTCTGGGGGGAGTCAGGGACACTGGAGATGCAGAAACCAACTCCTCCTGGGGCAGAGGTTACGTTCACTGGCAGTGACCCAGGTCCTGGGTCTGGGGACAAGGACCCTTGTCATATGGAGTGTCCCAGAGTCCCAGGCGGAAGCCTCTGCAGAAGCATGGTACTGTGAGAGGGCCTGACCTCTGAAGAGCCCGAGAAGATGTATGGCCCGGATTGGATGGAGCTTTTCCCTAGAGCTCATAGGGAGCCATCCACGGTTGGGCCTGGGCCAAGGAGGGTCATGCTTAGGGTCGGATATTTAAAAATAAGAAGTGGCAATGTGGAGGCTCAGTGAAGATAGGGGAGAGAAAATGATGGTCTGTGATAGGTGAGGGCCTGAACCGAGGCCATGGCCATGAGGATGGAGAGAAGGGGCCCGCTTAGGAATGTTGAAGCCATCGCTGGCGAAATTCGAGGCATGTGGTGACGCAGAGCAGAAATTAGAGTCGACTGAGTTTTCTAGCTTGATTATGCCATTCTCCCGGAGAGGGTGTTACAGGAGGGGGAAGGAGTTTGGGGTGGGTAAGATGGATGAGTAATGTTTGGAACAGGCTGAATTCATAGCCTCTTGTAAGGCATGAATTTACTTGGAAATGTGTATGCTCTGAAATAATTCCAGTCTGCTCACTAGGAGTTTGGGAAGTTTTTAGACTGTCAATTGCAGTAAAGATGTTGAAAGGAGACATAATCTGGGGTAGTTTTAAAGGTATAGTGGAAAATGCATCCGACAGGGAGTTGAGCGATTTAAATTCTGTCCCTGGGTCTGTCCCTGGATGTGTGCTCTTGAGTGAGCTGCTTGGGCTCTTCGGGCCCCATCCTTCTCATTGGTAGACAGCACTGAGACCTTTCCCGTCTCTAAAACATACTGCATTATTTGTTTTTGTTTAATTGTGCTTTAGGTCAAAGTTTACAGTGCAAATAAATTCTCATTCAAAAATTTATACACAGATTGTTTTGTGACATTGGTTGCAATCCCTGCGATGTGTCAGCCCTCTCCCCCTTTCCCTTTCCACCCCGGGCTCCCCGTGTCCATTCGTCTAGTTTTCCTGTCCCTTCCTGCTATCTTGTCTTTGCATTGAGGCAGGTGTTGCCCATTTGGTCTCCTGTACTTGATTGAACTAAAGGCAGGTTCCTAACTGTGTTATTGTTTGTTTTATACCCAAAAGAAAAAACCCCTTGCCGTCGAGTCGATTCCGACTCAGAGCGACCCTATAGAACAGAGTAGAACTGCCCCATAGGGTTTCCAAAGAGCTCTTGGTGGATTCAAACTGCCAACCTTTTGGTTAGCAGCTGAACTCTTAACCACTACGCCACCAGGGTTTCCGTTTGTTTTATAGGCCTGTCTAATCTTTGGCTGAAAGGTGGACTTCGGGGGTGGCTTCTGTTCGGAGTTAGGAGGGTGTCTTGGGGCCATTGTTTCGGGGGTTCATACTTCATTATTTGTTAATAGAGTGATATGTGCTGCTTTGTTTGTGCGAGAGATTAAGAAAGAAAGGGATGAGAAAAGATCTTTTTAGGACATTGTGCTTTCTTTAGACTTTTTTTTTTTTTTCTTTTTGTAAAAGACACAGTAAATCCTGTTTTCTGAAAAATAACCCAAACCTCTTTGTTATTAATAGGTTCTGGTGTAACAGTTTCTTGTTTGAGACAGTCCCCCTGGTCAAGTTTCCCTCTTGTGAATTAGACCAGGGTGTTTCCCAGGCCTAACAACCCCCGGGGGCTTTCCGTCAGCCACCTCATGCATCTCACGGGCTCCCCCTGTGTTTCAGATCACCGAAGTGGCCTTGGAGTACAACAACTGTCACGGGGACCAGGTGGTGGAGCGCCTTCTCCAGCACTTGCGGCGGGTGGACGCTCCAGTGTTAGAGTCGCTGGCACCTGAGGTGCCAGCCCGGCTGCCAGACCCACCACTGATCACCGCGTCACCCTGCTGTAACACTGTGGTGCTGCCCCAGTGGCACTCCATCTCCAGGACTCACAACGTATGTGAGCTGTGTGTTAACCAGACCACCGGGGGCATCAAGCCCAGCTCGGTCAGCATGCCGCAGTGCAGCTTTTTCGAGATGGCAGCAGCTCTGGATTCCTTCTACCTCAAGGAGCAGACTTTTTATCATGTGGCATCAGACAGCATAGAATGCAGCAATTTTTTAAGTTCTTACAGTCCTTTCAGCTACTACACTGCATGTTGCAGGACCATGAACAGGAGCATGATGGGCTTCATTGATTCTGAACAAGAGGTCTTTGAAACCCCAGCCATTGCATTCTCTTCCCTGGAGAAGAAATGTGAGGTTGATTCCCTGAGCTCCGTTCCTCACATTGAGGAGAACCAGTTCCTCTTTCCCGAAGTGGACATGGATAGCACAAACTTCACAGGTCTGAGCTGCAGAACCAACAAGACCCTGAACATCTACCTTTTGGACTCAAATTTATTTTGGTTATATGCAGAGAGGCTGGGTGCTCCGAGCGTAACTCACGTGAAAGAATTTGCTGCAATTGTGGATGTGAAAGAAGAGTCTCACTATATCTTGGACCCCAAACAAGCCCTTATGAAGTTCACCCTAGGTACTGTAGGCAGCTTTGCTTCCAAAGCCTGATAAGCTTTGCTTAACTTACTATAGGATACTTTTTTGTAGGGGTCTTGTTACACGTTCGTTGGTCGGAGGAGTATTTAGCTCATTTTATCTTTAGACTACAATTGGTCATAATTTTGCAAGTACCTAGTTTAGTCTGTTGAATGAAACAGAAACTTCCTAAGTCCGAAGTTTAGATAAATTTGTCAGTTAGCCCTTGGCGGATGGGAGTTCAACCTTCTAGATTGGCAGTGCCTGTCACATTTCTCAGGTGGAGTGAGCTGCAGTCACTGGGGACGTGGCTACTGTGAAGGGCAGGGTCATGGGGAGCCCATCTAATGGGGACATCACAGGGGACTGATGCACTGAGCCACACAACAGCTTCGTTCTAAAGGAGTTTAAACAGAACCCGGGTGAACAATAGAGCCGCCTCTCCTCCCTTTTTGTCTCCCATGTTTAAAATGTAGAAGTATCAACGGCACCAGACTTAATTTGCTCTACTGTTGTTCTGTAACACTGAGGAATGCTGCTGTAACTTCAGGTGTCTAGATTGTAACAGTAAACAAGCGTCAAGTGCAGTAGACAAGTGTCAGGTTGCGAACCAGCAGAAATCACTTTTGGGGTGAAGGCCCCATTGTGGGAAAGCATCCGAGCACTTGCCCTCAGGGCTTAGCAGCAGCAGTGAACTGACTCACGCTGTCCTGTTCCCAGGACTTTGCTGACATCCCTGATGCACACATAAGGAAGTGAGAATTCAAAAGCCACATTAATTCAGCCTCATTGGAAACCCAGGGCAGGAGTCAGTGTTTGCCAGATGGAGAAAGGGGGATTCACGAGGGAAAGAAACTTTATTTTCATGTGTTAGTATGAAAGCAAGCGTACAGTCAAAACCCCTAAATCAGAGTCCTTTTAACAGTCGTCCTTTAAGTCCAGGTGAAGCTTGTTTCTTACCTTAGACACATTTCTGAAAAGATGTATGTAAATGTTAATTTTTCTATAGCAAATTATATGTTATAAACGCTAGGGCTTCTCAGTGTTTAAAGGAACCTTGTGACCAGTCACTTTATGAAATGTTTAATTATTGATGTTGCAGATTACTTCTATTCCATTACGTTATTTATGGTTTCTCAAATTACGTTTTGGTGTGTTGAGTTTGAGTTTTCTTAAACCGAAACAAGCCTGTATTTCTTAAGGAAGTGTTTATTAGATTTTTCTGAATTCTGTTCAGTCATACTCAAATGTTCCATGACACCATAATGTGTTCACTTTGAATTTAAGGGTAATCTGAAAGCTTTCTTTAGATTTCTTTTAGTCTTTTAAATCTACCCAGCTCAGCTATTCTTTGTCCTGTAACAAAATTTGTAGTGGACTTTGTAAAGAAACAAACAAACACACACCTACTGTGTGACATTGTTGGTTTGGAGAGTTGACTCTTAGAAAGTCAGCTTATTCTAGGACAGAATTTAGGTTTCATTCAGATTAGGAAATCTTGGTTTTATATTTCAAAAACATAGCCAACTAAGTGTTATTCAGATGCTGATAATGCGTCCTTTTCAGTATTCACAGGACATTCTTCACTTCCTCCTCCCTCTGCAGAACATTTCATTGTTGCTTAGGACCTCAAAATGGAGGGAGGTAGAAGAAAGAAAAAGAAGTGAAACCCAAATTAGTGCTGCTTCAGATGAGGCAAAGGAATCTAAAGATGGTAGCATTTGTGGGGCGGGTAAAACTTCTGGTTCAAGTTAGGTTTTTGGATTATTTATGGGTTTTATTTATGTACTTTCCTCTAAATATCATTGAGCTTATTTTTCTTAACGTTTTTTAAAAAGAAAGTTGAAGAACTTTAATAAAAGAAACCAACAAAAATACAGCTCCTTGTTCTCAAATTCACAACCATTAGACACCCTCCACATTACAGTAAGTTGTGGAGTTGTTGCATGTGTAGTTAACGCCTGATGGGCTTAGTGTTGCAGGTTAAATCTCTTAAAGATCGTGGCATGCTGATGATTCTTATACGCAGCCTCACTTTATGTCCGTTTGTGGACAGCCTGTTAGGAAGAAGGAGGATAGGATTCCTAGCGTGTGAGTATTAGACCATCTTAATGCCGTATTATCTGAGTTACTGTCCGCTAAGTTAATACTACACAGCGGACCCTGGTGCCACACTGGGCAGCTTTGTCCTGTAAGTGAAATGTTAAAAATGTGAGCCTGTGAACTATTCCAGTTTTTGAAATGTGGAGTTTAAAGTAGGCCAGCTACTCTCCTTGTATCAAGAGAAGACTTGATCTCATTTTCTTTTTCTTTTTAGAGTCTTTTATTCAAAACTTCAGCGTTCTCTACAGTCCCTTAAAAAGGCATCTTATTGGAAGTGACTCTGCCCAGTTCCCTTCTCAGCATTTAATCACTGAAGTGACAACTGATACCTTTTGGGAAGTAGTCCTCCAAAAACAGGTATGGAATCATGAGAGAGGCAAAAATCAAGCTGGCTATCTCTAGTAAAAATAATTTTCGAAGCTGCAGTTGTTGGGTTGAGCAGTTGGCTTTTGAAGAACCACATGACAGTCTTAGTGTGGAATGTGAGTGAATTACATGGTGATTTTGTAATTGTACAAAGTCCTTAAGAACGTACATAATTGAAAAGATCTAAAGATTTAAATTTTTAGTCATAATTTTGGCATAAGCAGCATTTATTGAATGCCTGCGGGGTTCTAAGCTCAGGGAGGAAATGAGGAGGAGCCCGTTTCCCAGGTGGAAGTAACTGCTGTCTTCCCTTCCCACAGGATGTTTTGCTGCTTTATTATGCACAGTGGTGTGGCTTCTGTCCATCCCTCAATCACGTCTTTATCCAGCTAGCTCGTCTCCTGCCACCGGACACATTCACCGTGGCGAGGTAAGGAAGCTGTTCCGTGGCACCGTGGGCTACAGGTCTGGTCATTCTTCCTTATAGTTTAGCTGGGTGGTTTGTGAGGGTCCGCCCATTTTCCACTACCGTTGAGTAAAACTTGGTGGAATTTGATTGTCAAGTTAAAGCCATGAGCAAAACCACACTGAAACCAAAGTTTTCCTCGTGCATTTTGAATGTTCCTTCTATGAGGTTGGCATGTGTAGCCCTGATGAAATTCATGGGAAAATGAGTGCAGTTCTGTGGGAGGACCACTGGCCTGGGAGCGAGGATGCCCACCGTGTGGCCAACTCCTCGGGATGCCATGTGATGGGGCCCTGGACTCAGTCCCTGTGGTGCTGCCAGCTGGCCCTGGGACCTTGAGCAGATCTCCCCACTGGGCCTTGCTTTCCTGCTTGTTGATAAAATTAAGAGGAAAGGTTGGTTGCTATCCAAGTGTTCTAGTTTTATGATTCCATGAGTACTGTATGTGGGCCCTTGAACAAGCAGAATATTTTAAATAGTTTTTTGGAGAAAGAAGGATTGAATAAAGTTTTTGAATAAAGTTCCAGGGAGAAAATTGTTTAGATTTAAGCTTTATCTTTCACCTCCCTCCCATGCCCCCCCCCCAAAAAAAAACCCCAGATATATTAGAATTAAATATAAAAGATCAAATCAAAGGAAAAAAATATCAGAAGAGACAATATTAGATTTGTTAGTTCCTTTGAGAGATAGAAATGTGCTAAAGTAGAAGCAGTTGAAAAAATAATGAAAGAAAGATTAACAGATTCCACTAGAGAAATGTACAAGGAAAACAGACTAAAAAAAGAACAGTCAGTACATTTTACAGCATATATAATTTATCTATTATATATGCTGTAAATAATAAGAGTCAAATTTGAGGACTTACTATGCTGAGATACACACACATGTATATATATACGTAGGTATATATCTGACTTAATCCTCATAGTGCTCTAGGAAGCAGGTGTGATTATCCCCTCTTGATGAGGAAACTGAGGCACAGCAAGGTTAGGTAACTTGTCCAGAGTCACACGACCTGTAAGTGAGGGAGCCAGGATTCAGAGTCAAGTGGTCATACTCCACGAGATTGAGATAGTTTAAGAAACAGCTGAGAGGGAGGGACTCCAGGGTGAACAAAGGAGGCGAACTTGTTTTTCATAGAAGAGGAGAAAGTAAATAAACAAGTAGGGAAATTATAGTCTAATGTAAATGAAAACAGCAAAGTGTCATTTACACTTATTAAATGAACAAAAATGTTTTTAAATGACAGAACTTGTGTTCATAAAATAAAATGAGATTGGAACAGTCAGTTGTAGCTAATGTTGTAAGTACATTGACATAAACTTTTGGAAAGCATTTTAGCAATATTTGCAGGAAATCACAGGAACAGTTGTACATTTCAACCCAGTTAGTTTCACTTTGGGGGAATTAAGGCAGTAGGAATGCCAAAGAAGCAAGAGCTGGCCACAGTAGCGTCATCTCTGCCCAACAGTAAGGGACTAGGTGGGGCATTTGATGAATTCTTATCCATACATTAAAACAGTGCTTTTCATACAATTAATTGAATAGAGTATGAAATGTATGATTATAGCCCTTAGAAATATGTACGCATATACACCAAATCTGAACCACAGCCGCAGAATGAAGGTCCTGAGTAGCCCAGTGGAATTCTGAGGGGATTTTTACAATGTTTTAATTTTACAGTTTGGTCTTTTTCTTTGAAGTGAAAATTAGGAGAAAAAAAGTTTGATTAGAGAATGTAGTGTTCAATACCATTTGTTGAAAAAATGAAAGCTGTCATGTTTTAGATAGGCCATCACAGAGGCGAGAACGCAGCTTCGTTAGTAGAGCTGTTTAAAATCATTTTAATTTAGTTGTGCCATTTTTTAAAGCGAATTTCATCCTATGGGACAAGTATATGGCACTGATTTTTCCCCCCAGTTATACTTTTTGAAAACTTCCATCCAGTTAATGACTCAAAACATGTCTATATTTTGTATGTACTTTTGTGAATGTCGACACTGTTGGGCCTCTTGGCCAAGGAGTTCTTCCGCAAGGGCGAGTGCTTGCTCCGCCTTCCGAGGAGGCTGGCGTGGCCCCGAGGCCCCCCCAGCAAGTCTTTAGTGCCAGCTGCTGGAGGGAAACCCCCTAGAACAGTGGCAGTTAATGTGATAGTAATTAAGGACAGCTTGGATGATTTAGTATTGATGGAATTTTTGTGTTAGAAAGTAATCTAAAATCTCCTAAGACAATAACACTTTTTTGGGCTTCTGTCCAGATGGCACTGAAATATATAAATATAAAATAGGGTTTAATTTTTTTTTTTTTTCCAGTTGCCTCCCACCTTTGTAGAGGCTTGGTGTATTTTGCTCAGACATAATGATTTCCTTTCTTTTCCCAAAACCAAAATACTTGGCCAGATCCTATCAGGTGAGCAAACTACTCTTCAGGTGTCAGTGAGGCATTTCTGGAAGTTTGTTTTTACTTCCAGGACATCATAGTAGCACTCAGTGACTTAACTGGAAAGCTACATGTTCCAGAAGCATCAGTGTGTCTTCCAGTGAGCAACGCTGGCTTACACCTAGTGTGTACTCACCGAGAAGGGCCGGTCCAGGGTGTCTTAGAAGACGCTCCAGGTTCTCCAACTATTTGAGAAAGTTCTTTCATGTTGGAATTTAATGGGCTGATCTTTGACTTTTTCTGTTCTTTCTCTTTGCCTTTGACAGGATTGATGTAGCTCAGAATGATCTTCCTTGGGAATTCATGGTTGACCGTCTTCCTACTGTGTTATTTTTTCCCTGCAACAGGTAATGCTGGATTTTTCTGATATTGGGCAGATGGGCTCCGTTTGTTGAGGTCTAAGATACTTTAGGAAAGTAAAATATAAATAGTTATAGTTCTCATATCAGTATAGTTACACTGTTCTGAGTAAAATATATTGTTCAAAAAAATGTGCCATTAGGGACAAAGGGTAAAAGGGCTTTGGTGTTAGAGTGTCTCATATGGTGTTGATTTTTGTAAGAAGTCTTCTCTTCCCAGAGTCCTTTTCTGACACTAGCATTAATGTGGCCATCAGAGTTCAGTTAGCTTTCATGGCCTACCTGAACACACCGAGGATGCAGAGATTGACAGGAAAATGCCCCACATTTATGGCAGGGAAAACCAACAGCTAATCTCTTGAGCCTTAACAGGATGCCAGGCCTTGCCTGCCCCAAGCTTTTTCACCTGTGCCATATCTCACATAGCCCTCACAACAACCACCTCATCCCTGCTGTACAAGAAGGAACTGGAGGCTTTCTTAACCAACGCACCATCCTACACGGGGTTGCTTTGAGTTGGAGCCGACTCGAAGACACCTAACAGGTGCACACGTACCATCCTTCTTTGGATTCAAGGAGCCTTCCTTCCCCTGTGTACAGACTTGTGAATGTCTGCCACAGGCTTGTATGCCTCGATCTTTTCACATCTGTCTGAAAGGATTCCAAGTTCAACTATTCCAGCAACTACCCTGAAAACCCCAATAACAGGGCATGAGGCACAAGGAAAGGGGAAGGTGACTTCGCAGTTAGTGAATGTGGATGCGAATGTTTCAGTAGAAACAAATTAAGTCTTCGCCCTTTAAAGCCCACTAAACCAAATGTACTGTCCCTTTTTGCAGATTCTCTTTTGTTTTTAGAGGATGGGTACCCTTGGGAGCCCTGTCACCTGGCGTCGACAGCAGCATCTTTAGAAGGACGAGCGTTTGCAGTATTCTTTGAGTTAGGTCCTTAAGTAACATGTGTGCCATTTGCTCTTCTTATTTCCTGGGCTCACTGTTACGGTTTTGAAGCCACTGCTCTGCTTTTCGTGTCTTGCTCGGAGAGTGCTTTCTCACATACATTGAATCATTTACTTGGTTTTTGCTCTTTATCTCAAAGAATTTTTGCTGGAATTCTTTCCGTGGTAGTAGGGTTCTGTCAAATCACGTGCTAAAAACAGAACGTGACTCAACCTGTTTTGCTGCTGACTGCGGTGATAGGCCTTTTTCTTTCTAAGAAGTGTGTAAATTGCCACATAGTCAAGGAGTTGTAGACAGTAACGCCAGCAGTTTTATCTTTGTGGGACAGAGGCTGGGTATGAAGTTTAGTGAAGGGTAGTTTTAGAATTCCAAATGTGTTTTGAAGAAGTAGATTTTCAAAAGTGGCGTTAAAAGTCATAGCACCCAGCACCTGCCTTTGCATGAAGTCCTCAGCAAGTGGAATAAATGACTCTACATCCAGAGAGACCGAGATGGGCCCAGAATTAGGTGGCAGGGTGGGGAGGTTGTGTGTTTGGGGCCTGAGTCTGGGATGAGTGACCTTGATTCTAAAGCTGCTGTGTGTGGTGACTGTGGGGGTGAGCTCATTCTCCAGACGCCGTGTTGGGCAGTGGGTGCAGCCCTTACTACTTTCCTTGAATTGGGAAGGTCAGGAATGTAAAAATATGAGAAGACTATCCAATTCTGTTTTAATGGAAAGAGTTTGGTAAACCAAAGCCTTATATGCTTACCTCTATAAATTAACATGGAAGTTTTCTTATTTCCTATAAATGATAGCCAGAAGTGAAGTAAACTATTGTTAGTTGGCCCACAGCAAATGTTTGGTTTACCCAGAAGGTAAATGGGCAAAGGATAGAAGCTAACAGCTCATGAAAGAGGAAATGAAAAAGGCTTTGTGATAACATGTACTGAGCTTTTCAGGGTTCACATGCATATTTTATTTTTAGTGAAGAGAATATACAATAGTATGTGCACTATGATGAAGTACAGACTTGGCAGTGCACTGGGTTAAAAATGTGCACAGAAGGCAAAATGTCCAGATGTTGGCAGTGGTTACTGGGGAGGAGCAGGGATCACAAGGGATTTGGTGGAGGCGCATCTTACTTTATGATCAGGAAGGAGACCCTATGAAGGAGCCTGTCCTCTGCCACAGTGCACTAAGGGTGACAGTGCTGCTCCTGGTCCCAGCTTCCCTGTGCAGGGGCATCTTAGAGCCATCAGGGCCTTGCACCAGACTCTGTGTGACATTTCAAAGTGCAGGTGCTCTGGCCCAGCTCTGGATGAGAGGATGAGAATGGTGGGGTCAGGCGCACACTCCACCAAAACGCTGATGTGTAGCCCCTGCTGAAGACCCTCACTTCTTTAGAGGGACAGTCCTGCCCCTCCCTCAGCATTCTAGCCCTTTCATTTGGGTAGTTACCATATACCCCGGTTATCTTTTTTTAGATCTGGCTTTTTATGTGCTAACCAGTTGACGTCGAGTTGATTTAACTCATGCAACCCCATGTGTGCAGAGTAGAACTGCTCCACAGGGTTTTTAAGGCTGTGACCTTTCGAAAGCAGATCACCAGGCCTGCCTTCCAAGGGCCTTTGGGTGGGTTCGAACTGCCCGCCTTTCAGCACTTAACCGTTCGCTCCACATAGGGACTCCTTTTACCTGCTAGAGGTGCAGAAACACGCTCCGAGTGAACTCAGCCACACAAACAGTGGGACCTTCTATAACACCACACTTTCAGAACGAGGACTTTCTTAGGAAGCAGTTTGTTGAAACTTTGTGTCCTTGCTACTCTTGAAGTTTGAAAGCATTTTAGCACATCTGTTAGGTAGATCAGTGGTGACTGCTCCAAGAACTCTGTAACATGCTTACAAATGTCATTTGCTGTCCCGTCAGGGTGTCCAAATACCCGCACTAGGGTATCTCGGCAGCTCCTTGCTGGGGCCGCTCACGGTTACTCTGCATCGTGGAGACTAGGTTTGTGCTGCAGCATGCCGTGGCCGGCGCCGCCTCTAGTCCGTCCTCACTCCCCACTTCACACGGGCCAGCTTGTTTTCAGTTGTGGTTTGAATGGCCGGGTATGTGCCACTTGAAGAAAGCTTAAGTGTTAAGAAAACTACACTTTAAAGAAGGGGGTGGTTATTTACTTACCCCAAAATAATTTTACGAAACAATTCACATTCAGGGTTCCAGATTCTTCCTTATGTTTGAAATTATTCCATTTACCTGAAAGTTTGCATAAACATTGTGTAAAATGGGGGCATATCTGATTTTAATGTCCTTGTGATTTTTATTTGATAGGGGAGGTGGTGGCTGCCCATTGATAGAACATCTTTTGTCTTCTTGGGTATCTGGCTGCTGGCCTAGCTGGGGGAGGTGTGTGCAAGCTTTTAGTTAGTGGTTTCTTCTTAAGTTTGTTAAGGAACAATGCAGCTAACAGTCACTGAGTATCACTCATCTCATTTAACCCTCACAACAGTCCTGTGAAGTAGGTGATACTCATTTTACAGATGTGGCCATTCAGAAGAACTGAGAAGTTACTTGTCTAAGAGCACATGCTAGTGAGCGGTAGCGTGGTGATTCCACCGGGCAGCCTGACTCTGGAAGCCAGCTCCTAAAACGCCCTTCTTTTAATGTTGCAGTCGGTGGTGACTGCCTCTGTCCACCTCATGCAAAAAGCCAGTAGTTTTGATTTATTGTGGCTGGATTGTGTACACAGAGGTAAATGTATCAGTGGCATAAATTTTAGTTGTCAGGCAATTAAATGGGAAGGTCTAAAAAGGAATTTTCTAAATCAGGACTTGCCACAAAGCTCTGGGGAAAACTCCTCAGCATGTTCCTCTCCTTCCTCATTCTGTGCTCTGTGGGGCCGCAGCATCAGTTCATCCGAGTTTCTTGGTTGGTCTGCTTGTCAAAGTTCAGGTCACCTTTTTCTGAGAGGAATGTAGCTCACCTTCAAAGGTGAGTTTGGGGGAAGTCCAGAACGCCCAGAAGCTGACACTTCCTATCCCAGTACAACCACTGGTGGAGGATCACTTTAGTAACATGCTCTTTGTGAAAATGAACGCTGCTAACCCACCCCCTTTAAAAGGCTGACTATGATGATTTTATATTGACAGGGTGTTGAATAGGAAAAGCAGGACAGTGTCCTGTCCATTGTGCACTTTTATAAAAAAGTGGAATACGTTCCCTACTGACCAGTCATATCCAGCCTACTTTTTTGGCAACACATTTTTAGGGCTAAAGTCCCAAAACAGTGTTAGGGACAGCAGGGCCAGAATGACTGTCCCCTTGCTGCCCTTTGATTGCTGTGTGGAGCTCCTCCAGAGATTTAGAAGGTCTCTTGCCAAGGTTAACATTTCATCTTCCCTGCTGACCGTCAGTAAGTAAAATCCTCGGAATGGCTTTTCTTGGTAAGAAGTAAACGACCCAACCTTCAGTAGCAGTCTCGTTTTGGACTAAGAATGCTGACTGTCACGCTCATCTTTCACTCCTTTTCTTTTCTCTCCAGAAAGGACCTAAGTGTGAAATACCCCGAAGACCTTCCCATCACCCTCCCGAATCTGCTCAAGTTCATCTTGCATCACTCAGACCGTGCTCCCGCCCCCCAGAACCTGGCGAACCCTCCTACCAAAGAATGTCTGCAGAGCGAGGCTACCTTGCAGCAGGGGCACATCTCCCACCTGGAGCGGGAGATCCAGAAGCTGCGGGCGGAAATCAGTGCCCTCCACCAAGCACAGGTGCAGGTGGAGGCCCAGCTGGCCAGTGCCCGCAGAGACGAGCACCGGCTGCTGAGGCAGCAGCAGACCTTGGAGAAGCAGCACAGCCTGCTCCGGCTGCACAGTGAGCAGCTGCGGGCTTTGTACGAGCAGAAGACCAGTGAGCTCGAGGAGGTGGCCCGCAGGCTCCAGGAGCTGGCCGACGCCTCCGAGAACCTCCTCACTGAGAACACATGGCTCAAGATCCTGGTGGCGACCATGGAGAGAAAACTGAAGGACAAGGACGCAGCCGAAACACTCGCCCCCCTGAAGGAGGCACGCTCTGACCACCCTGAGCCTGCAGGTGCCCCCCACTTACCTGGCAGTACTCCGCCCTCCAATGTTAGTGCCACGCTGACGTCCGAAAGGAATAACGAGAACAGGACAGACTAACTTTTAAAATGACATGAAGAAATCAGAGGGGAAAACTGTACATTGGGAATATATTTATGCAAATTTTACTGAAATTTATTGTAAATAAAGATTTTCTCAGTGGTCTAGAAAATCAGCTTGAATGTCTGTCAACTTTTTATTGAACAGGGATGACATCCCTTCCACTTATTGCACAAACTTGATAGCTTTGAGACAAAAACAGTAGCACAGTCCATTTGAAGATCTGTCTGAAAAATTAGTCCATATTTTTTCGGCTCAGTGTCCACAGTTCCCTCCCCACTCCCCTACTGTTGCCTCTTTTGTGATGATACAAAGGATGAAAGGTTCATTTCTTGACTGGCTAGTCAGAGAACTTGAATGCAACAGTTGGCTTTTGAGAAAGATTTCATGAGGTCATAACTTACTGAGCCATTAGAGCATGTGGCTCTGGTGTCTACACTAAAAAAAGTCGCTATTGATAAGAGAACAGTTAGAGCTATTCTGTGGTCGTTTACCAGCCCAACAGGCATTTTCATCTTCCTCCCCAAGATCCCCTCCAGGACCATCATGCCCCTGATGCTCACCCACTACTGCTGACACTCTGAAGGGCCAGGTTTACACCGCAAGGACTGGCAGATGGGAGTGGGGTGGGACACACCTCAAAAGCCAAAGTGAAATTCGATGCTTTTCAAAAATTAAACTTCACTGGCAGGTACAAACCTCAGGGTGAGTCTGGAAGTCAAGTAGTGGGCAGTTCCAGGGGTCAGGCTCAGAGACTGAGGAGATGCAAACCCCTGGACTACTGAGCCCAGGCTTCCCCGCTGCTGTGAAACGCCAGGGGAGCACATGCAAGAGCACAGCCCTCTAACTCATCCCTACACCCTTCACGTTTAGTGAGCTCCTCCCTTAGAAAACAGGTCTCTCCCCTACCTTCCAACCAGCACCTTTGGAACTTCTGTTCTTCTAGGCCTGGTTTCTGCGTCTGAACCCCTCACCCCACCATGCCCCCCACTGAGAGTCCTCCCCACTCCAGACTGCAGGACCTCCAAAGACCTCAGCTTATCTGTCCCTCCACCGCCTCTGGGCCGTTCCCACTCAGGGGCCGAAGGCATTTCCTCCTCTGTGCTGGAAGCCCATCTGCTTCCCAAGATTCCCCAGAAGCCCATGGTGGTATTTTATTATAGTGAAAGCTGTTGACAGCTGGAACTTGACGGGACTGCCTTGTTTTTCTGGGTCTTGCAAGTTTTCCGCCTTTGACAGGGTACACAGTCTTACCATTTTTCTATTACCATCTATTAAGAATCCTACCTCATAAACACCCAGTGAGTTTTCCTTCTCTGACAAGTTTCCACCCTACACAGGTTCTGGCTCTGGCAAGATTTACTGTGCTACCTTAAGCCCATATTGCCCAATTAGCTGCCCCTTCTGTTACTTAATGTGTGACCCCCAATTTGGAGCCCTGTTGGTGCAGTGTTTAAGAGCTCGGCTGCTAACAAAACGTCGGCAGTTTGAATCCACCAGCTGTTCCTTGGAAGCCCTATGGGGCAGTTCTACTCTGTTCTACAGGGCAGCTATGAGTTGAACTGGCGGCGAAGGGTCTGGTTTTTGGTTTTCCCTCCCCCCAAGCTATTACTTAATGTCTGACCCCCCAGTTTAGGTGTTTACTGCTAAACTAAATGTTCCCTACAGTCCCCTCTCAAGGTTCTGAAAAGCAGACTAGGTCAACATGCTTTCGGAGACAATGGGGATGGGGCTGGGAGACACTTCAGCCTGACCAGGGAACAAGACCTCGCAGGTGCTCCAACGTTCAGGGCCAGCACTCCACAGTTAAGCCAGGGCCAGCTGCCTGTTCCTGACTGAGGACGAGTGAAACATGATGGGTTTAGAGTGTGCTTATGGTAGTGGGATTAAAAATCTAAGTGAGCTCGCTGATGTGGACACGGGACCTCACGGAGATGCAGGCTGCTGAGGTGCTGGCTTGACTGAACCACCTGCTCATCACCGTGGCAAAGACCAAGCCTAACCTAAGTCCACTGTCCCAAGCACAAGTTGTCAGGGAGTGGTCTGTGTGACTGGAGGTCGGGGTGCCCCTTTCTGCACATGAGGAGTGACCTGCTAGTGCTCATGCTTTGCACACATCATGCAGTGACCCGCGGAGGAAAGGGGAATTCAATACCCAGCAGGTGGGTGGTAATCTGAGGCAAGGAAGAGAACACGTGAAAAGGGAAGAGGGGAAAGAAATCCCAAACCCCTCAACAACCCCCTCCCCCGCCAGTGCAGAAAATTATTAAATACAAAAACAAAAACTCCACAACATTTTGTTTCTCCTGGGCCCCTTGGATTTTAGACTACAAGGAGCCACCATGGGCTCTGGTGTTTCTAAGAGGCCAAAGCAATTAGAGCAAAGCCTGCGCTAAGTGGTGCCAGGTGGGAGCAGGGACTGGCAGGGGACGGGGACAGGGCATGCTAAGACCACAGGGGCAAGAAACTGCTCTGCCACTGGGATGCCTGAGAGTCCTTGGGACTTGCGCCCTGATACGTCCTTCACTGGCTCTCAAGCAGGTACAGTAGCTTCCTTGCAATACTCCCACTATCAACAGGAACTGCTATTTAACCACCTAATCTACCTAGAGGAAGAAGAGAGCATGGTTCTTCCACCGACTGCCAACCAAGCAGAAATCCCCAAAGCACCCCACCTGGCCAGCCACGAGACTTAAAACTGACATTTCACTTCCTGTACACATGTGTACGTACATACACACACATTATAAAGACCCCTGCCAAGTGTGACTTGGGCCTTCCAAGTCTAAGACCCTCCTCCATAGTCTCGACTCCACTCATCATTAGTACGGTCGGAATCAAACCAGTTCCATGTGCTCTAGGTGGTATTTTAAAACATCAGCAAAAAGGCTGCACGTGCTTCTGGGGCCTATTTACAGTTCACAGGTTGGTTAGTTCACGCATTACTGTAGTAGCTCCATCAAAAACAGGCTCAGCTAAACATTCAAGTAACAAAAGCGCTATGGGGCCATGAACCCCAGCGGGGTCAGGTCTACCCACTGCCTGCAATGGGCAGCCTGCCAGGAGGTCGAGGGGATGCCCCGGGCCAGCGGGTCCCGGGTCGGGTCTGGGGCCCCGAGAGTCAGTGCATGCGATGACGAAGCCTGCCGAGGCCATGCCAACAGGTGTCAACCCTTCCTCTTGGACAGCAGCACATCTGTGGTTCCACCCGACCCGTCGCCTCTCAGCCTGCTGCAAACAGGACCAGGAGCCCTCCGCATCCCAGCTCAGCCGTGGACTTCCGGGCTGTTGGGGGTCAGCTTGGCCTTCCGCTCCACACACGGTCCCTTAGCCGAGTACTGTACCAACAGGAAGGGCTCCTTAGTCTCGCCCTCGCCCACGATGCTCTCCTCATCTTCTGACTGGCTGATGCGCTGGAGCCGAAGGTAGCACCAGCAGCCCAGGATCAAGGCCCCCAGGGCAGCGATGGCGATGAGGATGACAATCACCGTAACCACGCCCGTGGTGGGGCTGTGGTCCATGATAGACATGGTCAGATCTCGGGGGCTCCCGTGGGAGGAAGCTCTTGGGGGTGGCCTGCTCAGTGAGGCTGGACCTCAGTGTCCTGAAAGACAAACCAAGACGAGGCTAAACCCGCAGCTCAGTGGGGGACCCCAACCACGCGTGACTTGATGGGCTATCTTTAAATCAGTTCTGAAGCCTGACCACTCAGCCTTCATCCTAGAGAAAAACCCCTGGGCAGCTCACTGGTTGGCTTTGGCTTTTCTCTTTGTTCGCTGGCACGACCAGTGTCCTCTCAGCTCACCCCAGCCTGCTTCCATTCACTACCTCGGATACCCTAAGTGTCCCCACTATCAGACAGGAAGCCACCCTCGCTCAGCCGCAGAGCCGTTAACGCAGGTGAGGTGGATACTGCGACCTGCCCAGCCCTACAGTGGCAGCAAGAGGGCCAGACGCTCTTCTGGAAGCCCCTGCACGCATGGGTGTGCAGTGGCCACTCGGTGACTCCAAGGAGCCAGTGGCTTCATGACGGCCAGAGAGGAGGGATTCTAACAGGGAAGTGACATCAGCCCCTCGTGCAAACAGGCCACGTGTACCCATCAACGAAGTCCTTCTGGAAGCCCCATGAGACGGTGCAGCCGACAACAATCAAGGGAACTGTGGTGGGCTTGGGAGAGTCTGGGAGACAGAAGTGCTGCGAGAGCTTTGGGGAGAGGACGGGAGAGGGGAAGAGACCTCTCCTGCCTCTCAGAGCTCAGCATCCAGCACAGGAGTCAGACTACAATCGAGTGAATATTCCACAGCATCTGTCACTACAAATGGTGGGGGCGGGGGGTGGGGGTGGGCGACAGGCCATGTTCGGGAAGGCAACCCGATGCTGAGACAGTAGGAGGAGCGTTTCTGGCAGAGGGAATGCTGTGTGAAGGCTCTGGAGGCCGGAGAGGGCCTGCTGGCAAGTTTTAGGACCACCAGGAGGGTGGCCAGCGGGGGCTGAGCGTGAGCTGGTTTACGTGGGGGCAGGAGGTACACTGCACTCAGGGAGTGAGGCCTGTCTGGGAAATCCCCAAGGGGGCAGAACTCGGGGGGTGGGAGCCACCACTTCCCGGAGGTCACCTCAACAAATTCCATCCACTTCACTGAGCCTCAGTATCCTTATCTGTTAGTGGAGCAGGCCAGGAGTGTGGCTGTGGATTCAAACTGCTGACCTTTTGATTAGCAGCCATAGCTCTTAACAACTGTGCCACCAGGGCTCTTGTGGAGGCCTGGGGGTATAAAAAACTCACTGGAGACTCCCGCTCAACCTTCCAGCTCTTCCCCCAGGGAATGCCCCAGGGCCCGGCCAGAGCCAGATTAAGGCTGGGGCTGCCTGCGGTTGCCACCATTAGTGCTGAAGCCACAGGCAACGGGTCCCCTTGTGTCCAAGACCCTGCCTTTCTCATTTCTTGTGCCTCACCATAAATGGAACAAAAAATAGTTAACACCCAGGGCGAGTCCCTGGGTGGTGCAAACTTGTCTGGCTGCTAAACAAAAGGTTGGAGATTTATGTCTACCCAGAGGTGCCTCTCAAAGAAAGCCTTAGTGATCTACTGAAAAATCAGCCACTGAAAATCCTACGGAGCACAGGTCTCCTCTGACACACCTGGGGGCACCATGAGTCGGAGTCGACTCAACGGTAACACTCCAGGCGGTTACAGGGGTGAGAAGCTTGTGCTGCGTCCTGTGCCACCCACACAGGGCCAGGCAGGCAGTCTGCATTCAGGAAGTAGTGCTTGCTGAGTTGTTTTTTATAAGATCGACATCTACGCAGGTAGGCGACATTGGAAGGGGAAGGCCTTCCCTCCAAATAGGATGGAACTTGCTGTGTCCTTGAGCAGTAACAGCCCTAATTAGAAAGGATTAGTCTCCACACCAGGGAGTCTCTCCAGAGGCCCAGTTTGCCTGAAGGTCAAAGGCAGTTAAGTCAGTGCCACCAGAGTTTGCCCGGGGAGGAGGCACTGGGAAAAGTCTGCAGACCCCTGAGTATCGCCCTGTCCCCCAGGCCACGTTTACAGAGGAGCTCTGGGCAGGGGAGGCAGATATCCCTCAAGTCTGCCCTGGCTCTGTGTGTTAGAATAGAGCACAGTTCTACTCTGACACACACAGGGTCGCCATGAGTTGGAGTCGACAGCAACTAACAATCACAACAACTGTGTGTGTCTGAGGTCGGGCTGGGGAAACAGCAGTGGGCAAGACAGCCAGCGCTGTCTTTTCAGGGACTCAGAATCCACTGTGGGAGGGAGACAGCAGGACAGCAGCCAGGTAACCGCAGTCCCTGGCCCAAGAGAATCTCAGGTAGCAGAGTTCTAGGGAAGGCTGTGTGTGGGCAGTGTGGGGAGAAGGATACCGGAGCCCAGGTGGTCTGGGAGGGAATCCCGGAAGAGGTGGCTTCTGGGAAAGGTGGGGATAACTGGAAGGAACAGGTCATGGGACAGTCAGGGAAGACCATTCCAGGCAGAGGGAACAGAGTGCAGAGGCCCTGAGGCGGGTAAGGGAGGGGGAGGGGGCGAGCAGAAGGCTGGGAGGCAAGGAGTTTGGAATTGATTGATGCCATGGAAGCCACTGGAGGGTGCTGAGTGGGATGATGTGAGCTGACTTTTGAAAGATCAGTTCCCGGGAAATACTTGCTAGATGAACGAAGGAACATAAACGAACTTGAGAAGGGCCAGGGGCCAAAGGCTTGGCCACCTGGCTCTGTGCTCCCAGGGGTGCATGGCGCATACCCAGTGCTGCCCACGTCCCCAGCCTGGGGTGGGGGCAGCAGACAAGGTCCCTTCATTGGTCCTGAGACCCCCAGTTGCCTCTCCCCCTCCCCCCACCCTGCTTGCTTCCCGAGAACTGGTGGGTGCCTCCTGGGCTCCCCAGCTGGCCTTGGCCCTCGGCCCCCACCCCCTAGCTCTCACTGCCATTGATTTCCCACTTCCTGCCCCGGAACGGCCCCCACCCCCCAAACACACACACTTCCTCTTCCCCTTCCGAATTAATACTGACTTGCCGTCCTTCCCAGAGGCTAGGAGCACATGGGCCTGGACTTGTGAGGCTCGTGGACAGAGGGAGGCAGGGAAGGAGGGAGGTGGCAGTCTTCTCCCGGCAGGAAGAGGGCACTGGGGTTGGGGCGAGTGGAGACAGGCTCACCCGGCCACTGCGGGCAGGATGGAGGCTGGGTATCAGGCGGCTCTGCGGGGCGTGAGGGGCAAGGGGTCACCTATCTGGTCTGAGTGGGATGTGGGAGCTGACAGCAGCCCTGGGGTTGGCAGAGGAGAGGTCAGGATGACCTGTGGCACTTGGTACAGAGGTGAATGGGGCTGCCCATGGAGCCACAGCCTGCTAGCAGAGGTGGGCACTAACCAGGTGGCCACCAGGGCTGCAGACCGAGGCCTATGCTCTGGGTTTTCAGGATGATTTTTCAGAAGTAGATCACCAGGCCTTTCTTTTGAGGCACCTCCAGGTGGGTCCCAACCACCAACCTTTAGGCTTAGGCTAGTAGTCGAGCATTTAACTGTTGTGCCACCCAGGGACTCCACAGCAGGTGCTCAATAAATGCTTGCTGATGTCCCCAGCCTGGGGACAGTGATGAATCAGAGACCCTGCACTCATGGAGATCACAGTCAGCGTTCCCCACCCGAGCCAACTCCCTAACCCGCAGGCCGCTCCCGGGACCCTGAGCAAGGACCCCAAGTCTGTCCCGGCAGACTCTGGAGAGCTGGCAGTCCATGTGAGAGGACCAGATGCAGCCCGGGTGCGGGGGCAGAAGCAGCCTGTGCAACTGGATCCCAGGCTGGTGGGCCCGCCAGGGTCTTCACGTCTTCATGCTGGTTGGGGGGCAGGGCAGGGAGGAGGGAGCGAGGAGCAGAGCCCAGAAGCAACTCCAAGTGCTGAGGGAAGACCGGTCTTCCCCTCAACCCCCTTCAGCGTGGGTGAGACCCCATGGGTGAGGCCCCATACGCCTGCTATGTCTCTCCTGGCCTCCCTCAGCCCCCCTGGAGCAAAGGAGTCTCCTGCAAGCCAGCTGACCCCTTGCCCTGCTCCAGCAAAGCCCACAGGACAGGGCAGGCAGGGAGGGACACAGCTTGGGCGGGCAGACTCTGAGGGGAGCACCAGAAACCTGGACGGCCTCAGAATCATCGAAATTGTCGTTGTTAGCTGCCGTCAAGTCAGTAGACCTCAAGACATGGTGACCCCAAAACAAAACGATGCCAGGTCCTGCACCATCCCCATGACTGGCTGCAGATCGGACCATTGTGCTCCATGGTTTGCATGGACTAATTTATGGAAATAGATTGCCAGGCATTTCTTTCTAGTCCCTCTTATTTTGGAAGCTCCACTGAAACCTGTTCAGCATCATAGCAACACACAAGCCTCCACTGACAGATGGGTGTGCATGAGGTGCACTGGCCGGGAACTGAACCCGAGTCTACCGTATGGAAGGTGAAAATTCTACCACTGAACCACCAGTGCCCTCTCATCATCAAAATAGTTAACATTTATTCAGTACAATCATTTAATCCTCCCAGCAACCCTACACTAACTCTGCTCATCATTCTCATCCCCATTTTACAGATGAGGAAACTGACAGTCAGAGGGCTTAAATGAACTGCCCAAGAGTGAAGAGCTAGAACTGCAGGGTGGAGCCCACTTCTGTCCTGGAGATTAGCCTGAAATGAGCAACAATAACGCCGACTAGCACCAGTGAGCACTGTCCCTCGATCACACCTCACAGCCACCCTAGGTGGCAGATGTCACCACTCTTGCTGTGCCTGGTTTTCCAAGGCTCAGAGGAGTCATGACTTCGTCGCAGGGTACACAGGGTGCTATCAGCACCCAGGCTCCAATACCTGGCTTCAACCGCCCCCTCAATGGGTTCCAACCAGCTGAGGGCAGGGGTCTCCCGCTGTCCTGTTCTCCCTCGGAGGCTCACGGCTTCTCCTGTGGGTCTTCCCCGGTGTGAAGAGGGGTCCCCAGTTATCCCCGCTTCTTTGTAAGAGCCCGAAACTGAAAATTAACCCCACTCCACGGGCCACTCACATGCTCAAGGCCCAGTCGGGCCACAGCCAGCAGCTGACCAGGCTCAAGTCCCCTCCCTCCCTCATCCTACCCCTTCATTCATGACTGTGAGCTACTGTGACCCAAAGGAGCAAGCTGCTCCCAGTGGCCTCAGTCTCTCAATGTGCAAAATGGGAAGGAG